CCGAATTTGCTGTCCTTTCCATTCAGCCAGCAGCGAGCTAAGCCATATTTTTGTTTAGAATGTTTCAATACATTTCATTAAAACTAAATTTGATCACATTTCATTGAGACTATATTTATTTTTTAACTTTAATGCTGTCAGTTCCACGGACCGACGTCAGCCAAATGAAAATTCCAGTGCCAGTCCCCACGACGGCTACACGGAAAGTTCACTGCCGGTCCCCAGGTACCAGCGCCGTGCTCAACATGTTAAAGAACTGTTTAATAAACACATCCTCTAAATTTCTTGTTTCTATGCTGCTTCATTCTCAAATCAGACACAAAAAATATGCTGATCCTTAACTTTGGAAGGCAGTGTTGGTTAAAACAGTTCAGACTGAAAAAAATTATACTGAAAATCATGCTGGGAAGGGGGGGGGAGTTGAATTTGCACAATAAGAGTTTCATTTAGAGATGATAATATTGCTGTCGTCTTAGCCCTATTTAAGAATTTGTCATCAAAATTTTATTCATAAGATTTTCATCAAAATTCTTTTTTTCCTGAATCTTAATTAACAACAATTCTTCTAGTATTACATTTGAAAGACATGATCCATATTCAGATAAATTAAATACCAGGAGGACAGGCAACTCTATAAATGTCTTTAGGGGATTTGAACAGCATTCAAAAACATTAATGAGACATGAAGAATCTGGTAATTTTCATCATTTAAATTACTGGATGTGGTAAAAATTAAAATATTTTTATACATCCAATAACAATCACTTCTGTGAAACAATCACTTCTATGAAAGAACTGAGTCGTAAAAATAACTCCCATTTATTTGAATTTTTTAAAATATTTTATTAATAATTTTAAGCATGGAATAAACAAATCATTTTATAGAATATTATATCAAAACACAAATCTAGGACTATTTAAAAAATGAAACAAAGAGTATCCCCCCTTCAAATAGTAAATAAAGTAAGAATTGAACACAACACACAGCAAGTTTTATAAAATGGCAAAAATCCGAATTAATAATAGATAATTAAGTTTTTAAAATAGCATCATTTTCAAAACATCAATTACAGGATAAAAAAAGACATAAAAATATATTATCATAATCCGGATGTCCATAATCCTGAATGATCTATAATCTGGACCTCAAAGCTACAAACTTTCTGCGCATGCGCATAATAAGTTTACACATGCGCATATGCATTTACGCATGCGCATAATACGTTTACGCATGTGCGTTTAATGTATAACGGACGGTATAAGCTCAGCTAAAATTATCTAATTATCTATTTCAGTTACTGTTGCAGATTGCATTGTTCCTTAATCTTCCAATTGGATCCGGCTTATTATTTTATCAGACTGGTAGAGCAATTTTATAAAAGTGAGCTTGAACTTTCGATTATGTCAAAAAGAATTTCCGATTCTGGAGCTGCCAATGGATCTACAAAGTGAAAACATGTTTCGACGTCCATTAAACAAAAAGTGGAATTGTTCCTTAATCTTTTTATTGGATCTGGCTTATTATGTTTGCACACTGTTAGAGCAATTTTATAAAAAGTAAGCTTAAACTTTCGATTATGTCAAAAAGAGTTTCCGATTCTGGAGCTGCCAAAGGATCTACAAAGAGAAAGCATGTTTCGGTGTACTGCTTCCGATAGTGAAGAAAGTGACAGAGATGTTATTAAAAATGAAAAAATTTCGATTCACAAATTAGTGGGTATTCTCGACACAGCAATTATAGGACTTGAACAGGGAACTTTGTAACTAAACAAGAAATTATGTCTGTTTATAGAATTAAAGAGAATGTATTAGCACATAAAACGAAGCAACTTAAACAACTTACATTGAAAGAAATGTTTAATGAAGTAAATAAATAAATATTAAGCTTCTTTTTTTTTTTTTTTTTTTTTTTTTTTTTTTTTTTGTAAATTTTGATACCCTTTAGATCATAATTGCTCTTGATTTCATAAATTATGTTTTCATATTTTTAATTTTATAATTTCTGCATGCCATCTTACCAGATTTAAATTGATGATCTATAATCCGGAAAAACCGATATCATTCAGAAAGTCCCAACGAGTCTGGATTAAAGACTTTTGACTGTATAAAAAATATATTTCTGCTTAACAAAAAATTCTAATTATACCACAGAGATATTTGTTTAAAATAATCTTTCCTTACATCAAATATGCTAAAATCTGATGTCCAGATCATAAGGGACTTTGATGGTTCTGGATTTTGAAAGTTTCCAGATCTTGCGATCATCAATTTAAATCCAACAAGATGTGCACAAATAATTAAGTCAAGCACATGAAATAGTTGTTTATGAAATAATAAAGTATTTATGACTTGAATATTTATCAAAAAAACTCAATACTTGTTTTATTAAACATCTTTCTAAATGGAAGTTTCTTCGTTTTCTAACACTTTCCCTTTAATTTTTTAAATAGATATAATTTCTCGTTCAGTTAAAAGATTCCACTATTCAAGTCCTATAATTGGATACTCAGAATTCTCACTTACACTGTCAATCACTTTTCATTCTCAGCAACTTCTTTGTCACTTTCTTCTCTATCGGTAGTGATATTTTCTGGATTTGCCGGCTGTTATTTGACTGATGATTGAAGCACTGTCACCACAATAGAAAATTTATGTTATATTTATGTTCTTCAATTATTATCACTTCTGACCTATTTCTTCGCAAGTTCCATTGATTGGAAAATTTAACTTTTGCTTTTGATATTCAAAGACTTCAAAATTTCAGCTTTCATCATCATCATCATCAACAACAACTTCATGAAGTATAGTAGATGGCTGTAAACTATACTAAGCATTTGGTTACTCAATCTGTTGAACATGTGTACTCAGTTTTTAAGTCCATTTCCTCATTAAATATTTTGGCTTCAACCATTACATTTGTAACTGTCAATGACTCGCTTGCTGCGATGTTGTTTCAACCATTCAATCATAACTTTGTGAAGACTGTCTGTATCAGCAAAATAAATAATTTTATGATTGCTGTTCATTGTGAGTAAGGTCAAAATTCAGCAAAAAATTCAAAAAATCCCTTTTTTAATACCAAATATTGCTGAATTTTCAATGACAAATTCCTCACATAATTTTGAGACGGATATGCCTTTTTATATTCTTTTTTGAATCAATTCTACGACTAATATCAAAGCATGCCGTCTCTTTGCAGATCCTCCTGCAGCTCCAGAACTAGAAATTCGCTTTGGCATAATCAAAATTTCACACTTTAATTTTGATAAGATTGCTATAACAATAATAGCCTGCAAAAAATAATAAGCTGAATCAAATTAGAAAAGTTTAGAAAGTTTAGTTATGTTAAACTAAATTTAAATTAATTAAGACACAATAACACGCCGAATAAATAATAATTCATGGGGTATTTATAGGATTCCTTGCCAGTGTGCTTTAATTTACATTGGCCAAACTAAGAGAGCCTTAAAATTTCGCATCAAGGAACATGAGGCATATGTTAGAAAAAAGGAAACACAAAAGTCTTCTGTTGCGCAACATTGTTGGTCCGAAAATCACACTTTCAATTTTTCTGCTGCCAAAATTATTCAAAAAACATCTTCCATTGGAGAACTGGATTTTCTAGAGACATTTCACATTCATAAAAATCTTTCTGTTCTAGTTAACGATCCTAATTCCAATCTAAATTTGCCTTCGACCTTTAAAGAAATTATGTTTTAGTTCTGGTTTCACCAACAGATGGCGCCACTTGCTTATTCTTGTCCAGGCTTTCTTATCTTATCTAATCATTGTTTCCTATCTTGTTCATTTGCGGTTTTGCAGCTGAGGATGGTGGTTCGGTAAAACCATCGAAACTAGTCCTGTGGAAATTTTGTAAATATAACATTGATTTTTGTTGTTTGTCTTCTGAATTAGTAAATTTAAATTCCTCGGAGTGTAATTCTTTCTCCCCTTCCTGCCACTATGCCAACAAAAGAAAACAAGTCCAAACATCCTACTCCAAAGAAATACATCTTGACACTTCCCTTATTGTTTAGGTCAGATAGAAAAAATTATAAACCCCTCACAACCACATAAAAATGTTGTCTTTGATAGTGTCAAAACAATATTAATCTGTCTTTAGTGAAGATGTGATTCCTTACCTAGCGAGTACTTGAAAGTTACATGAAGTAATCTAACTTTAGAGAAAAATTTCTTTTACAGCATGCCTGCGTCTTCTTCCATATTAATCTCCATTTGACTACGGAAAAAGGAATTTGTACAGTATAGGTAAGTCTTTAAACCCTCTGGCTGTCATCCTGCGATTTCCATTGGCAACTCAAATGTAGCAAAATCTGCTCATCCCGCAATTTACGCGAACATGTGTTTTTCTTCCTTTATTGAGGAGCGCATCCCATTTTTTTCCTATTTAACCATTGAAATAAATTATATACAATATTAGACGTTTAGTTTACGTTTTGGCCAAGATATAGTTAGCTGTCCACTAAATTGCGGCATTTGAAGGCACGTGGTATTACCGCTAAATCTTCACTTTTGCCGCATTTTTCTTACAGAAATGGCTGCTAGAAAACGTTCAGTGATTATCTTATTTATTTAAAATCATTGAATTATTAATTAGGTTTATTGAATCTGGTACAAAGACTGTGAAATTGGACAGTGCTTCATAGTTTCTTAAATTTTATAAATTTTACTTTTTATATTATGCAATAAATATAAATTAACTGTAATTTGACTGAAATTTATTTAATTCTTTTTCCCCCTGATAACATCTGAAATTGGTTTTTCTGGCAACTTGGTTTCTCATAAAAAATCTATATAAAAAATGTTTTCTAGAAAGAAAAAACACATTTTTCAATTCTTCAATATATATAGATTTAAAATATAAAAAAAAAAAATTACACTACTTTTGAAGTGATTTTGGTCCACAAATTGAACAGTCAGAGGGTTAAAAATAATCCTGAGGAAGGAAAGGAAATAGATATTCTATGTAGCATACTTACAATATAATATTCCTGATGCTTGCATAACTTTATGAACAATTTATGCTTTGAAAATTTTGATAATTCATGGTCTGGTGGTATAAGTAGAGGTAGATGCTCACTTGCTAAAGCAGGAAGATGTTGAATGGTTTTGATATTCTAGATAGTAATAATAATATTCTGAGTTGCATAACTTTATGAACAATTATGCTTGAAAATTTTGAAATAATTCATGTTATGTGTATAATGAGGTAGATGTCATTGCTAAAAAAAGCCAGGAAGATTTGAATGGTTTTTCACAAACGACGAAAATGTTATCCAGAACCTTTTTAAAAAATATATTATAAAATAATTATTATTTTAAAATTATTTTCTCAAAATATGATCATATCATACAGAATTTTTTTGAAAAAATTAAAGATCTTAATAAAAAAGCTTAGAATGATTCAGTTATGCAAAAAAGATTCTGCTCAAAAATGCTATAAACTATATAGAAAACTTAAATATTAATCAGCTTTGATATTAATATAAAATAATTTTAAGAAAATAATAAATGCAATAAAACTCTTTAAAAAATGAAATGATGAAGGGAAAAAAATTAATCAGAGAGTCCAAAAATATATTGATTTTGTCCCAAAACATACTGACTGATCTCCAAACCTTTTTCGACATTTTTTTTTCTTCCCCTCCCCCTCTAATTTTTTCATTCTTTAGAAGTAATATATATTTTACAAGAACTAGAAACATCAAGTAAAAACAGCTTTGTACTTAATGAAGTTACCTTAAGGCAGCTGTTAATCTAACAAAAGTGAAACACCAATGATTTCAAATACATTCTACATCAATTTGTAATACAGTTTTCTAGTGCAGTTACATTTTTATCATTCTGTCAAAAAATGTGTCACTTCTAGGTCACATGCTCATGTGTTTAAACTACAATATTGTTGATATTAAGGATGTCTATTTTCAATTTCCCCATGGGACAACAATTTAACAACTTAAAGATAATAATGAATATATAAACAAAATGCTATTTAGTCAATCTTTAAAAACGCTATTATGTCTGGAAAATATGGTAATGAAAAAAGTTACAGAATCACATCAGTAGTTTAACTTGCAATTATTGTATATCTTACTACAAGTAGGATATTGATGCTGGTGGTATCTCAAACCAGGCCCATATTAAATAATAAATTGCCAAATATTCAGAAACAGTACAAAGATCAGCAAGATTGCCGAGTCACCTCCGAAATCGCATGGCTGAGACAAAACCGAAAAACACTAAGCACCCCCCCCCACACAATGGCAGGCACTTGCCTATTCGGACACTGGCCACAAACACACTCAAGCCACAAATAGTGACCATTTTTTATTGTGAAGGCACGAAATAAAGCCCCACCACTGCCTATTATGAAGACCACTCTACAACCATACCTTCTCTGGGATTCAAGCTCAATAGCAGTCGGCTTTTACTATACTGTCTGGGCAGCAAACATTAAATATGCATCATTCATCAGATCAGGTAGCTTTGGTATGGCACCACTATTACACACTCACGACCTGATTAAGCTTGACAGTAAACTTGATCCAGCCAATGAATGCAAAGTGAATGCTTTGACTTGAGAATTCAAATGTTTTCTACACAGTGCTGCCGGCTGTGAATTGTGATGCTACTAACTGCAGGACATCAGACCCACTGATCTATGTGTTATGGCATTTATTTTGACATTCCTGTCCCTACACAAGAGTCATGCATTTTCTTCTAACACCATCAATAGATCCAAAGTTGACTTACCATTGTCGCACCTAGTTGATTCCCTACATCAATATGACACAAACTAGCTACACATAAAATAACTAAAGCTCTAATAAATATATCTGTTCAGTGAAAACACTCTGGACAATGTATCATTTTTAACTCTTATTTTCTATATCTGAAAAGTCAGCGAATCTTCTTGCTTCTAGATCACTCTGCATAACTTTTTCATCTAAATACATCTCAAAATTTCCATGATAATGCAGCAAAACTTTCATAAGACTACATTTGTTCTGTCAAATACTGTATCATATGAATTTAAACTGCCAATGATAATCCAAAATGGTCCATTCCCATTAGTTTGAATACATGAAGTTATTCTATACTTAAATTTTAACTCAGATTTAAATACATTTATTGAAAATATGTATCTCTAACTTTATATTTATGTACAATTTATACCAATGATTAAAAATAAAGATATACAAAATAGTACATCGTTTCATTTTTAAATTACAGTTTTATAGTTACCTTAATTCTGATATAAGATTCTCAATTTTTGACGGATCTTTATTCAAGCAGTTTTGAATATCATCCATCATTGGTGGTTCTAGATATAAAGAACAGCAAAATTTGTTACCAATTCAGCATTATGGCATTTGCTTTGAAAATTTTTATAAGTTTTAAATAATAGAATTATTAATATTTAATCATTACCAAATTGTGGTACATGTGCCAGAAAATGCCCACTATGGGTATTTACAGTAATCAATAATTCTTCTGAAATCATGCATGGTTGTAAAATTGGGATATGTAAGACAGCAGGAGAGCCACTTATAGTACCTAAAAATAATGGAAAATAAACAAACAGAAAAAATGTTCTCAGCCTATGAAAACATGAAGCTTTAAGCAATGTAAAAGCACATGAGTTTTATAAAAGGCAAAATTCTACAAAAGCTTAAGAAATTATCTAGGATGTTTTGAAATCATTGTTAAAAACATTTGGGGGTTCCAGGTGACAATGATGTCATAAAATCCCATTAAAAAAATTTTTTTTTTATTTACTTTCTGATTATCTGCACCCCCACCAAAAATATATCATAAAAAAGTATTCATGAGGCAAAGCAATATGTTGCCAAAATAGCTATGTGGCAACCCACAATGTCGCCTAGAAAGTATTTGGGCACCCAGGTATGCACTAGGCTTTGGAGCACAATGCCAAAGTTGTACGAATGATGAGTCTGTGCAATTTTCTTATTTTTTAAAGTGAAAACAAATTGTGTGTACAAAGGGTGAAACAACAGCACAAAAACGGACTTCCCAGAAAAGGTAAGGGTTTTATTATTAAAATTTTTTTTTAAAGTTTTATTGATTGATTGCTCTTGCATGGAATTCTTAGTGTGGCACTGCTTAAAAAAAACTCTTGCATGAAACCCACCAGTTTGAAACACACAAACACCCCCTCCCCCCAAAAAAAACTAGCCACCAAATGAGTCTGCAAGTGCTCTCCAAAGTCAATAACAGGATCATGACTTTTGGTAATAGTGCAGATAATGCAGAATGTATCTTTAATAATAATAATAATAATTAGATCTTGAAATTTTTATTTTATTTGCTTATCATGATGATTTTTAATATTGCACTTGACTAGAGCTAAAATTACTAATAAATATTTAACAATTCAATAAACAAGATTAATAATTACTATCTAAACTAATTTTCAAACAAATTGAGCTTCTACGAGTATAATCACTTTCATTCTATTTTGCAGCTTTTCCCTGTCACGGATACCTCAAAATAAGATCACTAATATTATACATTATTATTACATTTCATGCTATCCTTGCATTACGATAGATGACTATTCATCATATGCCTGCTTATGGTTTACTTTACACTGTGATGTATTAAAAGATAATGCTTAAAAATCCAATATATCATTTAATATTAATACATGCATTTGATAATATGACTTATATATGATCACAGAACTTTCCCAAACTTATAATCCAATAAAAAAACCTTACATTTCCTAATCCACACAACAACACTGCGATTATTTATTGTACCAAGTTACGAAAATATGCCACAACAATTTCAGCTTAAAAAAATAATATTATCACTTACATTCTGAAAGACCAAGCAGTGGCTTTAAGATATCACTCAACTCCTGTAGTTTGTGTTTTGTACGAATATGTACAGTGTGTATCAAAAGCTTTTCAACCGATAAAAAATCAGACTGAAAAATATAAAGAGAAAATTATTTTTCCAACCTGTTATTTTAAAATACATTATCAACAATAAACAGGAAAACAATGTCTGCATTGTAATTACTTTAATAGCTTGATCTGCTAGCTGGGCATCTTTATGATTCAGATGAGGAACATGAGTAACTTGCAATGGTTTGCTAGGATCATTAGGATCCATCTGTACACATAATTTACAACTCAGAGTTTCTCTGCCAGGAAAATGCTCTCTTTCACCAAAGTTTTCTTCAAATTTAGGAAGCCTGTCAAAAATAATTACATATTTATAAAATTAAACATAACAAAAACTGTAAAAAGAGAATGGCTTAAATAAAATTTAAAAATAAACAGAAAATTTCATTGCTCTTTACTACACTTTTTCTTTCTTTTAACTGTACCTAGAAATTAGCTTTAAAATTTTATCTGAAATTTTCAATAATTCTTCTTTTGATCAAGCATTTATAAAAATCATTTATATTTAGTCAAATTTCTGTTAATGGACTTTCTTCATTAATGGATATTCCCTGAATACTCCAACCTTCAATTAATATACTCTAATTCAGCAGAAATTCCCACATGATGAACAAAAGCCTTAATTCTGCAAGTTCGACTATACAAGATTTTAACAAAATGGAAACAAACTCTGAAATCTGTTTTCGTAAGCATCTGAAAAGCTTCAAAATAGCTTTAAAAAAAAATATATTTTATTTTTATTTTTTAATTTTATTTATTTATTTTTTTTTTCCAACCCAATATTACCTCCAATAAGATATCACTAAACGGTTACCAGCAGAATACTCATCAACTACAATGCAGTCTCTTAACCGGTCACGACATAGGCGAAGAACCTACAAAAATATAAAACATGGGTTATATCATATCAATTAATGATTAAAATTTAATAAGCCTAAAACAAGTTTAACTTTACTAACTCAGAAGTCAAACAACAAAAATCAGCGTTATATTTACAAAATTTTCACAGGACTAGTTTCGATGGTTTTTTTTTTTTTTTTTTCGGTTTTGCAGTTGAGGATGGTGGTTCGGTAAAACCATCGAAACTAGTCCTGTGAAAGTTTTGTAAATATAACGATGATTTTTGTTGTTTGACTTCTGAATTAGTATTTATTCGGCGTGTTATTGTGTCTTAAGTTTAACTTTGTTTAGCATATAAAAATAAAATTTATTTAAGTGTAGCCCATGTTAATTATATAATTTAGTATTTCACAACAGAAATACAGTTATTTAAGGGCAATTGACTTAAATTATTTCAGTTGCTGTTGAACATGTACAAACTTTAATCTAAATTACTGAATTTAATTTTAAAACATACCTGAGAATGCAGCACTTCTAACTGAAGACTTTGGCAAAATGAATCTAACATATTGTTAAGAAATTTATCATGTCAGTTCTTACGAAATGAAAATTACATCCCAGTATCATATATTAAATTAGTATACTGTAATTTTATGAACCTAGAATTATTACCTTAAACTATCCATTTTACATAAGGTTGATTTCACATAATTATGTTGAAAAAATTACATAGGTACATATCAAATAATCCCTTCCCAGGCAGCTATATAATAACACGAATGAATTCTAAAATTTGCCTGAATAGTAAATTAATGGCAACCTCTTTGAAAATTAATCCTGAAATTTCAGTCAGTTTTACATCATTCAAAAAATCTGCTGCGGAGACCACATCATATTCTTGTATATTTATTGAATTAAACATATTTTTTCCTGCTCATTTAAACTTATTTCCTCAAATTATTCTAAATTAATTAAGCAAACCCACAAAGCAAGATGAAAATGACATTAAAGGTTACAAATCTGGAAATTAAATATCCCAGTCAATATTTGTCATATTTGTTAAAGTTCCTGTATTCCCCCCCCCAATAACATGTATAAAACTTTCCTAAATATAAATATAGGAACTGATAGATGCATTAAAAGTCAGATTTTGATTATTTGACCCATTTTTTTTTAAATTTGAAATTGCCAAAACATAAACATTTTCATTATTTAAAATACTCCTGTAATTAAAAGCACATGTCTATGACCAACAATTGTTAAAATAAAGGCCAGATAAGGATTTTTAAGCTCTGTGTGTGTGTGTGTATATATATATATATATGTATATGCAGTACAAAGTCCAAAATCCTAACGACCATTATCCGGAATGATCTAAAATCCAGACCTCAAAACCACCAACAACGTTTTCTCATAGGCTTTTACACATGAGCGTTTAATTCCACCCTCCATGCATAATAAAACATCTGGAAAGTTCCGATTCTTAATTTCACCTCTACACTAAATAAAATACCTTGTTATTGAAGAAACAATCAATTTAGCATAAATCTGTATGACCAGTAATTTGGCTCCGTAGCTGCATAATTTGTTTGGCACACATCTCAAACCGAAACATTCCACATGGATACATCGTTGATTTGACACCAACTGGGCGAATCATTATTCATTATACTTTCCTTTCATCACTGCATGTGTATCAAAACAGGACAACTTGAATAATGGCTCATGTAGCAATGCCTAAACAATTTTTTTATGTTATTAACTGAATAATAAGAGTATGGTAACCTTTTATGTTGATGTTTATGCTTGGCGATGATTACATATTTAAGTTTTAATGCGCTATAAAATATGTTAACAAGGGAAAATTTACCAAAAATTACTTTTCATATGCTAAAAATAGATTTTGTTGATGATACTCATGGACCCAAAGATTACATTTAGGGCTATTTGAATTAAGAATAACTGATTTGTTATTCACATAAACCCAGAACCAGCATCAGGGCTCACATGGCAGCACAGGATCGCAGGATTTAGGACCCACAGAGACTGCATCAGGTGGTAACATATCTAGTGCCGGGCCTCAATAATGCTTAAGTATATGTGGGAATTTATTTATTCAGAATTTTGATGAGCCTTAAGCATGCGCAAGAAATAGATATATGTATAATAAATAACTTAAGTAATTGAATTCAGGCTTAATTGTCTCAGTGCACAATCCAGATAAATTTTAATGGAACAACTTGTCATTAGTCGCCAAGCTGATGATGCATAGCCAAATACACTGGTTATCATAAATTAAGGAAAAATCACAAAAATCACGATTACTGAAAAAGTTACATGTAGAATTTTATGAAACTTACCCACAATATACAACACATAGTAAGGTATCAAAAAACATAAAAAGAAATTACTAGACAATTATGGTAGTATAGAAATTAGAAAATGTATAAAATCAACAAATCGAAGATGTCAGTTTGCTATAGTAAAAATACCTTCAATATGGAATATAATCACCTCTAGAAACAATACAGCACATTCAGCGATGTGCGATGCTTTCAATTATGCGATCTATCAGTTCCACAGGAAGTGAGAGCCATAGCTCTTGCAAAGCAGTTGCAAGTGTGACAAGTGACTGACGGGGCGGATTGAGAGCAGCTAGATGTCTCCCCAAAGCATCCCAAACGTGCTCGATAGGATTCATGTCCGGGGATTGAGCTGGCCACTCCATGTGCATAATTGTTTCCTGTTGAAGATAAGCATATACGATGTGAGCGCTGTGTGGTCTTGCAATTTCGTCCTGTAACAGGAAAGCATCACATATTGCCCCGGCATATGGGCACACATAAGCATCAAGGAAGTCATCTCTATAAAAATGAGTATTCACTGTTCCCCTTGGAAAAACATGGAGGTCTGTGCATCCACCCAAAGAGATGCCACCCCAAACACAGACACTGCCTCTTCCGTAAGCATCTCTTTCACGGATGTTTGACGGATGATAATGGGTTCCAGGTTCTCTCCATATCAAATAACACCTACTATCGCGTTCTGGACTAAACCTGGACTCATCCATAAACAGAACAGTCCTCCACTGATCAAGGGTCCAGTGGACATGTCGTCGTGTCCTACTGCAAACGGGCTCTCCTATGGCGTGACTTGAGAGCGGCACGCAAATGGCTGTTCACGTCTCGCATACAGACTATCCTTTGTGAAGCCTTCTACGCATAATTGACGTTGACACCAACCTTCCGGTGGCTGCAGCAAGGGAGGATCTAAGAAGAGCCGGAGTAGCGGTTCTATTCCTGAGTGCACATAATGTAAAATATCGGTCATCAGCACTCGTCGTAGCAGTTGGCTTTCCTTGGCTGAACCTCCTAAGTGCCGAATGTGTGATTTGAAATTGCCTCCAAAGTCTATGAACCACAGAAGCACTCACATTTAGCCATCTGGCCACTTCTGTTTGACTTTGTCCTGTCTCTAGTCTCCCAATAGCTGTCTATCGTAGTTCTGCAGGCACATGATGCCTCCGAGATCATTGTTATAAATTGGCTACCTCAGATTTCTGATGTCACTATCACAGTGAAATACGTGGGCTTGCTCTCAAACATGGACTTTTATGCTCCTCGCATCCTCCTCCTGAATACATGACGTATTCTGAGTGCAGCCCACTAATTTGCATATTGGAGTTTTACTCAGCTACTCTTACTTGGCAACTTATTCAAATTTTACACAGTTTGGCTTATTTTTGAGCGAGTTATCGATATTTTTGTGATTTTTCCTTAATTTATGATAACCAGTGTATGTATAGTGAAGGATAGCTAAATTTGATTATTATAGCAGCTAATTTTAAAAGTTTTCGGATATCGCAAAGCAAAGGTGAAATTTTCCAATTAATGGATTTTGTAAAAAGAAATGTGGAGAACTGGTAATAAATAAAGATGATACAAAAAAAGTTTTTCATTGTGATGACAATGCTTCTCAATCATCAATCAATTAATGAATGGTGAAATCTGTAGTATGGTTCTAGATCCAGAAAATACTGCTACTGATAGTGAAGAAAGTGACAGAGAAATTACTGAAAATGAAAAAATTTCGATTGTTAAGTTGGAATTCTTGATACGGCAGTTACAGGACTTCAACAGTGTAACCGAACATGAGATTATGTCTGTCTACAGAATTAAAGAGAAAGTATTAGAACAAAAAACGAAGCAACTTAAACAACTTACATTGAAAGAAATGTTTAATAAGGTAAATATTAAGTTATTAAAATATTAAGTTTTTTTTTTGGTAAATTTTGCTACCCTTTAGATCATAAATACTTCATTATTTCATAAATCACGATTTTATGTATTTAATTTTATAATTTCTACATGCCATCTTACTAGATTTAAACTGATGATCTAATATCTGGAAAAATCCCAAATATGGAATCGCCACAGTCCCGATTTCAGACTTTGTACTATATAAATAAAAAACAATTTTTTAAAATAATATACTCATGACTAGTATTTTCGTGCATTAAGCTGCTGAAAAATTATCAGTAAAGACATATATTAAGCAATTTAGAACCAATTTTACATAAAGACCGAAAATTAAAATTCATAAGTAATAAATGTTCAAACTAAAATACTTCAAACAAGTAACACCCTAACTCAAAAAATTAATGAATATAAAAAGAATGCAAAATGAAGAAATAATAATAAAGAACGCAAAGAATATAAAAAGAAAAGAAATGCAATCAACTTCAATGACACTTCGTCAGGAGGAAGTCATTGAAATCAATTCAAACTTCTCTTCCATAAATAATCCTTGCTTTTCTGCATCCAGAATCAGCCAATGAGCAATTCCAATGTATGTTAATTATAATAGTTTCCCTGATACTTTCTGGCCCCTCCCTAAAACCAGGAAAAAGTAAAGTAAATTCATATCCAAAACCTTACCTTCACACAAAGAGAACTCTACCCAAAGAATTGAAAATGTAAACTCTTTGGATATAGTTTTCTTTGTTGCAAAGTAAAATTTGGATATGAATTTACTTTGTTTCTTCCTTGCTTTGGGGACAGACCAGAATTTTCGGGTGAACTTTTATAATTAAAATACTTTGAAATGGTTCATCGGCTAATTCTGGATATAGAAAAGCAAGGATTTTTTATGGAAGAGAAATCTGAATTGATTTCAGTGTTCCTCTTCCTGATGAAGTGGCACTGAAGTTGATTGTATCCCTTTTCTTTTATATTCTTTAAAGTTCATTAATTTTTTGAGTTAAGAGTTTTACTTGTTTGAAGTATTTTAGTTTGAATATTTATTAAATTCTTTTATACATTTATAGGATTTTTTTAAATTTATTACTTATAAATTTCAATTTTTATTTTTGGTGTAAAATTGGTTCTAAACTAATTTCTTACTTTATGTCTTTACTGATATATGTGTGTGTGTGTGTATATATATATATATATATATTACTTAGAGATGGTATTAAAAAGTTTTCTAATGATAAATTATGTTCGTGCCTGCGAGCGCAGCACCCCCGTGAGAAAAAATTGTTACTGGGAGTCAGTTGACTAGAGTATCAGATGGAGTGGGTTTAATAAATGAGTGTCTTTACATTAAGTGCCAGTTTTATTTACAGTCCATTTTAGAGAATGAGTCTATAACAATATTACCTTTGAGAAAGTGAACTGGCCAACAAATTATATATACATACATATACTTTTGGTAATGGCGATTACAATAAAAAGGGAGGTTCACAACTAGATTTTACATAAGTCACATATACAAAATTTCAATGTCCTATGACTAATTGTTATGCTATCATCATAAATACTGTTATACACTATTGTCGATGTATCACAAGATTGGCAACTCAAGACAAGTTGTTCCACTAAATTTTGTTTTGCTTCTATCGCACCCTGATGATGTTGAGCTTGAGTTACATTAGTTTACTTATTTATTACATTTAATACACATTTCCTGCACAAGCTTCTCCGAGCCCTGACTAAATAAATTCTTCCATATGCTGCAGGTTCTCAATTCTGCTGCCAAACGCTTTCCTAAAATGTAAAAATTTTGCATCCCAGCACCTTTCCTAAATTCTACAGATTTTGCCATCTGTTAATTTTGCTGCTTGTTCTCTTAAATTCTGAAAATTTTGCCTTTCTAAATTCTGGTACCAGTACAGGTCTTATCCGAAAAACAAATCAGTTGTTTTAAATTCAAACAGCATCAAACGTAATCTTTTGGCCTATGACTATCATTTACAAAATTTATTTTTTTGCAAATGGAAAGAAATTTCTGCCAGATTTCTCTTCAACATTCTGAATACTTTGCAACACAATTAGCTGAAGTATGTAATCATCGCTAAGTGTAATGTCAACACAAAAAGTTACCTTGCTTTTTGGTATTAAAATTGTATTATTTTTTATTATATTATTATTTTAGGCATCATCACGTGAGTCATTTCTCAAGCTGCCATCTGTTGACAGTCATGCAGTGATGAAAACAAAAGCAATAAATAATAATGTGCCAAGTAGGTGTCAGGAATATACATTGTTCAACATGGTGTAAAATCAATTATGTTCTAACATAAAATGCTTTGTCTGAGATATAAGCCAAGCAAAAAGGTGAAAGCCAAATTACTGATTGTACAAATTTATGCTAATAAATTATTGTTTCTTCAATATAGAGGTATTTTGTTTACTGTCAAAGTGAAATCAAAAATTGGAACTTTCCATTTTTTATGAAAAAAAGTATGTCACTTGTGCATGCCTCCCCCCCCAAAAAAAAAACGTTGATGGTCTGGATCTCCTAGGTCTGGATTTTAGATCACTCCAGATACTGGACATTTGGATTTCAGACTTTGTATTGCATTATTTAATGATTTCAAGATATAGATTTGATTTTTATTCGTTACTTGTCAAAATATAAAGACATTCAGTTACAAATTTTAGCACTGGGAATAATTGCTTTATTTCAGAATACATTATATGTGAATGGCTTTCCCCCCCCCCACACAGATTGAAAATTAATAAGAAACAAATCCAAGTGACTGAGGAGCATCTACAATCTGTGATGAAGATAATTTTTAGTAATTTTTGTATCTATATACAAAATTTATAATTATTTATATATAAATATGTATTTTAACTTATGCATAAAAAATTAATACATAGAGAAAAGAGTCTAGGAAGTCATAATTTATTCTCAAATTTTGTCCTGCTTAGGAAGTGTCCTATGAAGTATCAGAAATTTTTCATAATTAGTTTAATTTAAAGTAAATTATTTAATGATTTATTAAACGTATTAGAATTATCTGAAATAAATGTCAGTCTGGAATATTAATACCTTGGAATTTAAAAGGGTAACCAACAAAAATGTCTTGTAAATACCAAACTTTAGATTTCAGATAGAAAATAAATATAAATTACTTTTTTTTCTTTCACATTATTATTGTGTTATGTGTGTTTTGATAACTATTTATCACTTAAAAAAATTGTGACCTGGCAGCTGTTTTTAGATTGTGCATTTGGACCACATGCAGTTTGAGTTTCAGACCACTGATGTAAAACATTTATGCAGTAAGTAAAAACTCCGTATCTAAACAAGCATTTATAAGGTAATTATTAAATACTTCAAAATGAAAGGATACGAAGGCAATTATATAATTCATGCAAAGGACGTGGGTTATCTATGAGGCGTGACTGAATCAGCTGATGAATATAATGAACCTGAAGTGAATGAACAAGGGCTTCCCCATCTGGGAAAAAAAAAAAAAAATTAATACATGCATACAATTTTTTGAATAAAGCATTAAGACTTGGAAAAAAAAAAAAAATACTGCTCTCTTACCTCCAGTTTCCTTGTCTTCAACTAATATATCTATATCTAAAAGTCGCCAAGACACATGTGGTCCATCACCCATCAAAGTCAAAGATACCTAGTAAATACATGAAAGAATTAAAATACAATATTTGTAATCAAGTAAGCTGCATATTATTAAGATTGCTTTATGTTTAAAAGAAAAGCATAGCTATATTACAACTGAAAACCTTGAAATATGAAAAATAGGGAGTTTTTAAAAGGTTTTCACACCACATAGAGATAGAAGCCAATTCAAAAGAACTCAAAAATTCACTGGCTGATGCATGAATCAGGTTATTGAACTATTTATGATTCTGATATAAAATATAAATTTTATATTCTTAGGATGATTTCCTTTTCTAATTTTCTTGCATTTTTTATACTAAGAAAATCGTGAGTAGGGAAGGAATATTTTTACTTAACAGAGCACTTTTAAATACAATGAAAATAAAAATTAATAAAGTTGAAATGGGATAAAATCCCATAAGTTGACATGCTGGAGCCTTTTTTAAACATAAATAAAAATACAGGTGCTTTTATTTCATCTTTAACTTCAATTTAACCATGCCAGTAATTTTCAAACATTAAAATTAATAATTAATGCACATACTATTGTATAGTTAAACTTAATAACTTACCATATATTGGTGTAAAATAAATACTAATATTAACTCATTAGTTGAATCTTCATAAAAAGTTCCACAAATGTCTTTAGTCGATTAAGAAAATTCAGATCAAATGAAATTTATTAAAAATTATGCTGAAATTCACTGGTAGTTAGGAAACATGCATGATTTAAGTTTCAATAATTAATAAAATTCATTTATTGATAGAAAACATCTTCCTTGGGAGTTTTACTTAAAAATAAAAGTCACAACAGTTAGCAGCTAAGCTATGTGCATTTTCACAGCAGGTTCCAAGAAAAATAAAAATAACATGTTGTGTGAAGCTGTGTTTAAAAGAGTCTAACAACTAATACAAAATAGAAGAAAGTATTATGAAAACTTTTAAAGATGTCTTTTCTCCTTTTGACAAGCATTTTAAGATTTGCATTTTTCTCTCTCTCTCTCTCTCTCTCAAAAAAAAAAAAAAAAAAAAGAGAGAGAGAGAGAGAGAACAAATTTTCTTTTAAAAATTGTTTTCTTAATTACGGACAAAGTTTGGAACTGAAAGATAATTTTGCAGTAATTGATCCTAAACATGCAAAAAGTTATCTGTGACACATTTCCAAAAATTTTTTAAAGAAGTTTTCCCCCAATCACAATTATGTAATTTATGAAATCTCTCAACTGAATACTTGCAGCAGAGGATATATACAGTGTAAATGATGGATAAGAATCAGTTCCACAAGAATTAAAAGAATTTAGATATGAGAAAATGTGGACATTCGTACTATTTTTTGGAATTTCATGAAATTTATTTTATTTTTGTGTGTATAAATAAATAGGTTTTATTGTGCACTATTTTGTATGATTATGTAGTACATAACTTAATTTTGTAAATGTGTAGAATAAAATCATGTAATCAAAATATGTATGTACATAAACTGTTATAAAAGACTTCACACATATTCATTAATGTGTTTGAATAAAATCATATTATAAGAGGAATACCCACCCATACTTCACTTTCTTTATTCACCATATTTAGCTTCCAGCAAATTCTTATCTTTCCAAAAATGAACTGAACTTAAGACGAAAAGCTAACAAATTCTATATGTGAAATCTAGGACAAACTGCAGGTGTTGTTCAGTACTGTAATAAAAGCTACTTTATACAGAATTTCCAGTTATAAAAATAAAGTTGGGATGAAGGTTTGCTTTATAACTGACATATTCAAAGGTAGTGAAGGAAAATAAGATGCACTATAAGTTAATAAATATTTTCAAAAAAATTTTGTGAACTTTTAATAGCATCTTGTATTACAACATAGAACATACATACAAAATCAATTTTATTTTTCAAAATATTTTATTAAATTCAGTAATGCTTTCATGGTGTATATCCACAGTAATAAAAATCATCATAAGTAAAAAATGGATACAATTTCCTACCGTATAAGATAAAACACTTACAAACAGTTTCAATGATTATTTAATTGAATTTAAGCAGATGTATAATCAAATAAAATATTATTCTTACCTCAAATTCATGCTCAACATGAAAAGTAACACGTCCATTTTCTACAAGGCAGAAATAAAACAAAAAATTGTCAAATGTTTTTTAAATTATATTTTTTAATTTAATACAAACTGATTTTTATTAATTAAGAAATAGATATAAAAAATTCAAGAAAAATTTTCTATAAATGATAAAATTTTTATCAAGTTTGTTTGTGAAACTGTTAAAAAAAGTTCACAACAAATATATTATATGAAAATTAGCTTTAATGAAATTGATTTACATAATTCAATAGCAAGATAAAAACAATTTTTTTTTTTTGGAGAATATGATGATTTCATGTTTATACATATAGAAAATTCAAAAGAGCTATCCTGTAAAATGACTTCCATATATCACTTGCTAAAGAGCTTTTCCATTAATCGTAAGGAATAAAATTGATCTGTAATTGTGCATTCTGCATCCCAGAAGTTCAGTCAAACGAAGTCTATAGTTAAAAATCTCTGCACAACAATGTATTTGAATCAACTTCAAAATACAGCAGAATATCTGTTCAGAAATGACGACAAATCTTGTTCACAGCAGTTACCAGGAGTATTGTATCCATATTTGTTGATTGCAGAAAATTTAACAGCGATCCCTATTCTGCATGATCTGCAATTCACATATGAAGCCCAAATTTTGAATTTTGAATTTGCATTATTATCTGTTTCTTATTTTCTAAAACTGACTATTTCTGATTAAAAAAACGATTTCAAAGCAAGCAGTAACAACTCTATACGGAAAAAAAAAAAAAAAAAAAAAAAATTATCTTCAGCGCATGGAAAAATCTTAGATCCCTTAAACTAGAGCTGGAATAATATTTTTCTAAGTAAAATCGTTTTGTGGCTTATCAAAAGAAAACGCATTTATTTTGCATCTTCGGTGTTTTTCTTGCTAAAAGAAATATTAAATTTAATGTAACGAATCCTAGAAAAATATAAGAAAAGAAGGTATTACTTAAATTTAGTATTCAAACACTAAAGATAACTAAACTTATTCATTAAATAAAACCAAGGCGAACGAGACTATTTAAAACAACGAAACATACAAATGCTTTTTTTTTTTATTTATTTAAATAGATTTTTTAAATACATACATATACATATATATATATATATATATATTGCCTTAAAAGAGCAGGCATTAAATACTCACTCTAAATCATTTAACCGATAGGGATATGATAATTTGTTACTACACCTGAGAAGGCAGTATAAGTTGGATGACTATCAGTTGAAGGATTTGTATATAGTGTAATTACTCAGTTGTATATATTGTAAAAAGCTAATTGTCTTCAGACTTATGCTGTTACTAAAAAAATGGGCCTAGTTCATAATCTTTAGTCTGTCTAATAGCTCTCAGACAGTGAAAATTCCTTTTTTCCTTTCTTAAATTCTTAATCATTCCGACACGGAATTAGCCAGAAATTAATTCATTTTCATTCACTAGTATTTTCAAAAAAATCTTAACAGACAGTTTCACTCAAATAAGAACTCCACATTATACATCCCTCAAGAATTCTGAGTCCCACCCACTACCATAAATTCTTCACCCAAGTCTTACCGACTGATATTCAAAGCTCCCACTGCTGCTAAGAATTTTTTGGACACCCTACACTTCTGAGTCAGACTCGAAGAGAACACTTTGCCGATTCCTCACTAGAAAGAAGTAAGTTACTTAATACTTTTTCTGGCCTTTATTTCTTCATGTACATTCACTTTTCTTATTATATTTTTTATATATTTTTATATTATTTTTTATTTGTTTTTACAAAGTTTACATTATTTATCTTATTTTGTAATCTTCTATGTTTATTTCAACTTTATACTTTGAATTCTATTTCATAATGACAATTTCCAATGTTTAATTTTTACAAATAATATAGAACTCAAATGCATAAACACGAGGGTGTCGGGAACGGTTACTCGAGTTTTTTCGGATTTCTCTATAGAAATTGCTTTTCACTCAAAATTGAATTGGCTGAAATGCTTCATAAGAATAAGTTCTTCGAGTATCAGCATTGGTTCATAATCCCTTTTATTCGCTGAGATATTTGGCCCGACTATAATTGCCGATTTGGCTTAACCTTATTACTCAAGTAAGAGCCTGGTCGTTTAGCTTTTTTTTTTTTTTAATTCATCAGCATTATTTTTAGAATGAAAAAAGACTAAATCTGCTTTTTCAAGAATCTGAAGTCCGCATTAAGATTTACTTTGCAATCCTCCACTTCATTTCACAACAGAAAGCAGCTAAAATATGTGCTGATTATAAGAGATGGACTGAAAACCAATGAAAGTCCATATTCTTCACACATGCAATCAAATAATGGCTGCAGAGTATTAATGGATACAACAGTATGCAAAGAATCAGGAAACTGCAGTCAATACAGTAATTTATTTCAATAAGACTTACATATATCTATGCTAATAAATGGAAACCTCAGCAAGAAATATAGAGATGATATTCTGGATCTTTATTAATGTCTTCATGTGGGTATAATGTGTAATTTCGTATAACATGATGACACCTCTAGCCCACTTCAAACTACACAAGCAAAGCAGCAGCATTGAAAACAGACAACCATGAGTACAGATGGTCAGTTCAATTCTAGAATTAAATTTCATTTCTACATAAGAAGACCTTTTCCTATCTTTAAGCTACCAAGCAACACCCCAGAAGAATTTAATTATAAAAGATCATTTGCTATGACCATACATTTCTGCTGTACGTAATTATAATCTATGCAGAAGCAATTAGTTACTGTAATGCCATACATGATTCTTTGCAAGCTCCTCTATGGGTTACTTTGTAAATGAAAAATATTTTTTCACATAAGCATTTTACGCCACTTTAAAACTCTTATTGTGACTAAAATGTTCTCCAAACTTCATCTGAATTCTTTGCACAGTTATACTTTTATGCTTATTTATCTTTATTACATCATATTTTTTATTATTATTCCTTATTTATGGGGCTAATACATTTTTACGCCATTCTAAACTATAAATACAAAAAAAAAAAAAAAAAAAAAAAAATATGATGGCATATTACGAGACATAATTTTCTTGCCTATTCTTTCAATTAAAAAATATCAGTTAGTTAAAGCCAGAAATGCACAAATCATTTTACGAATGCAGATACTCTGAGTTCCAGTCTAAAGGAGTTAAAAATTATAATTAAATTATATTTTGGTATTTTGTTGTTAAAGTTGCCACTGTGCTTAGTTGTCAAAACTGGCAAACTGCATTCTATCTGTAATGTGAAAATTTCAAAAGCTGCCAATGGCTTATGCAGTGGTTTCTTTACTAAGAAAGCATCTAGATCTTTAAAAAGATAGTAGTCACTGTTAGAAATGAAATTACACAAAACATATATTACAACATGTTGCTCTCAAGATAAAAGTATTTTTGATCACCTTCAAATATATATGTTGAATGTGATCACAAACAATTTATCGTTATAAAAAGAAAAATAAATTGTTGGTTGTTACCACTGTCACATAAAATAAATCACTTGAGTTTTATAATACTAATTCACTTTATTTAATGTTTCAAAGATATGTTAATAAAGGAATGAATTTGAAATGAATAGCATTTTCTTCAGGGCAATACAATTAACTTTCATACTCTAGCAGGCACTAATGCTCAGTGATTAAAATTTCATAAATACTTTACAATCAGAGACACTGCTGTGAATTATACTGAACATGCCTCTTATGCACTTTAACAATATGTCACTAATATCTGCTAGATTTGTGTACCATTTAAAAAATAGGCCTTAATTACAGCCTAGGCGCAAGAAGCCTCAGACCTAAAATCTCAGTTTTCATTATAACTTTCAATTCCTTGATAATTACATTAACTAACTCTAATCATAAATATGAAAACTTAAACTGAAGATAAGGGAGGTTGAATAAAGGTACCGAACATCACATTAGACAAGTAGGTATCTTATCATAAAATTTAAAGCACAGTTATAGTAATAAGTTAAATATACAAAGTGACCAGACATCTCAGACTGTGCACAGCAGCCAGAGACTTTAAAAGTGCATACTTTTCCAGGATTTTGTAAACAGACAATGTGAATTCTGCTCATGACAGTATAAGCAGTCATGGAGATAATTTTATTGGATCAGAATAGAAATACATTCAATAGTCAAATAATTGCTTATTGCAGATATATGATTTTAAGGAATTCATACAGCACAGAAAAAACAATGGTCTGAGAAAACGTTTGGGGTTCTATTCAATTTGTATTTCATACTTTGAAAAACAGACAACTGTGATCAGTTATTCTTCTGTAAAAATAAAAGTTAGAAGCGAAGTAAAACACAGCATTTATTAGCATTAATCCCTTACCTATTGAAGATATTTCAGAAAAATGTGTCAAGAATAATAATAATAGTAAAAAAAAAAAAAAAAAAAAAAAAAACCTCTCATTTTGTGCTTTATAACAATAATAAAGATTAGAAAAAACTTATTTTGGAAAAAAAAAAAAATATATATATGAAATAACTTATTTAACATTTTGGTATGAAAAGATAATTGGATATAGTCATATTTTACTTTAAATCATTTAATTACATCAAAATAAAACAAATAGCATTGTAATTTTCAAGCTATATATAACTAATGAAAAAATTAATACAATAGGATTTTGAATTTGGGGATTTCACAAAACCTTTACAGTAGAGCATATATAAAAAAACGGCACAGAGCATTAGCCAAAATTCACTCCTGATTAGTGCATTTCCAGCTAATCCCACCCAACTTTTAAACAAATGTGGCACACGTATCGCTATCTATTGATGAAAAAGTGAATTACATTGCATTAAGCATTTGATACAGGAAAACAAACTCATTTCAAGCCTCATCAAATAGAAAAACTGATTTTTCTCAAGCCCTAAATGAGTTCAGACATTCATAATTTAGCATGATTAGGTTGTTCAAACTGGATATAGATGACACTGTTAAGGGATTATAGCACAATTATAAAATGAACACTCTCATATTCCTTCTTG